CGACACCGGCATGCCCGGATTTACTTACGTGGACAACTCCATCTTCGGACAAGTGGCAGACGAGTTAGTGAATCAAATGGGTGAGTATAAGAGAGCTCCTAACCAAGGGGTTCTAGGACCTTGCTTCAGCACTGTTGGTGTGGACGTTAAGAGCGTGCCAGGATTAAGTTTTGTGTTTGATGGTGGTGCAAAAATGGTGTTTCCTCCCACTAATTATTTCTTGTAAGTTGTATGACGAGAAAGTGAATGCCTTGTGCTTGTCATTAACCTCTCGAAGGTCTAATGTTGAGTTAAATGGCGGTCCCAAGATCATTATTGGTAATTATCTGTTGACGGATTTTCATTTGGAGTTCGACTTGAAACGTATGAGGTTAGGATTTAAGCAAGAAAATTGCGATTGAGAATTGACATGGATGTATCTAAATGCCTCATGTGGGCTTTATGACTGGTTTGACCTTTGGTTGGGCCTCTAAACTATGTGTGTTGCTTAGTTGGGCCCTCTTTTCCTTGTCCTCCACGTTTATTAGGGTTTTATTTTTGTGCTCGGTTTGCGGAATTTTTTCTAGTCTTGGTTTGAGTTTTGCTGTTCTTTTTCAAATTTGGAAAAATTATAGAATATTATGATAGTATGGGTTTGTAGTTGTTCTTCTGTGTCTTTGGCTTGTGTGTTCTTCGCTTGCCCATTTGGCTTTTAATGAAATGGCTTAGGGCCCGTTTGGTATCTTACTTGGATTCAATTTTATAAACTCAAAAACATATTTGCCATAAAAAGTTGTTTGGTAGGCCCATTTTTAAAACCTAAATCCAAAAAAAAATTCAAAAACACCCCTATTATTAAAAACAAAAAAAGTGAGGGTTTTTTTTTTCTCTTTCTCTCTCTCTCTCTCGCGCACCACCAAAATTGATTGGGTTTATGTCTCACATCTTTTTCCTTTTCTTTTGTTAATTTCAATTTGGGGATTAGGGTTTATGATTTTTTGATTTTAATTTCAATTTTTTTTAGATCTTAAAAATAGTTTGGAGTTCAATACCAAACAAGTTTTTAGATCTTAAAATCACTATTTGAAAACTCATGTTTAAAAAAAAATCATAGTTTTTCAGTTTACTTTTTTGAGTAGGATACCAAACAGGGCCTCAATATCACAAAATGTCCCTAAGGTTTACGAAACTATCAGATTGCATCCTTATTGTTTTTTTTGTGTAATTCGTGGCCCTCAAGGTTAGTATGTGTGCTCATAAATGGTCACTGCTGTTAGGTTCTGTAAAAAACTCCTTTAGTTTGCTGACGTGGCATATATATATTACAAAACATCCCCCATCCAAGGTCTACTTGGCCAACCGCACAGCTAGGATGATAAAATGGTTTTTTTTTAAAAAGATTAATAGAATGAAAAAAAGAGAGGAAAAACTCAATATAAAATTAGTCAAGTTGACTAGAGTGGATGTGCTCCCATTGGACAAGCTCAATCTAATCACAACGAGTAAATTTTTATATATTTTATTTTATCAACTTGAAAAACAAATATAAAACAAAACCTTTTTCTTGAAGGTTTTCATTTTCATTTGTTTGCTAACGGCTTAGGAATATATAGGTAATCAAAAGTTTTTCTTTTATATTTACGAAGAGTTTTCGGTTTAAAAGATATGTGTGCCTACTGCCTACCTATATGTGTTGTTTGATCATGGTTTATTAAATTAACACCAAAAGCTCAACAAACAACAATATAAATCATTCTCTGTAGCTGAGAGAGAATGAATTAGAATCCATGGCACTTGCTTCGCTATGTGTTGTACAATGACAAACAATGCAGTCAAATCATCAGCCCATATATCAGATCCAAATGTGGACTTGGCCCACCATGCCCATCTTATAATTATCTGTTTGCTTCATGGACAACTTATGGGATTTCAATAGGATCCATAGCTGGGAATTTAATGTTGGAAACTTTGGAACAAAATGTGACAAGTTTTCTTGTTGGCTGCTCCAATTTTTCATCCCAGCAACCTGTTGGACTTGCTGGGTTTGGCAGTGAACCAACATCACTGCCATCCCAATTGGGTCTCACCAAATTTTCCTTTTGCTGCTTGTCGCATGAGCATGATGATGTCAAAGAGCACCAACCTTGTTTTGGACAATGCAACTATGGTAGGGCTCAGTTACACACAATTGCTCACGAGCCCTACGTTTGCAGGAAGCTCACATTTTTCAGGGTACCACTATCTGAAGCTTGAGGAGATTATGGTGGGGCACAAGCACATCAAAATCCCAAGCAAATTTGTGGTTCCAGGATATGAAGGAAGTGGGGGGACAATAATTGACACTGGGGCATCTCTCACATTCATGGAGAAGTCAATTTTCAATTTGGTGGCACAGGAGTTTGAGGATCAACTGGCTGATCATGAAAGAGCTGGTGATGTGGGAGTTTTGGGGCCATGTTTTGGGACTGAATGTGAGGAATCTATGTCTTTCCCACAATTAAGTTTGGTGTTCAATGGTGGTGCGAAAATGGAGGTGCCATGGTCTAATTATCTTCTGTTCAATTGTGACAAATAACTTGGATGATGTGGGAAGATTGTTTTGGGTAATTATATGGAGTTTGACTTGGCAAATAGGAGAATAGGATTTATGCATCAAATTTGCAAATCAAATTAATGGGACTTTTTTGCGCTTAGAGTTGTAGTATGAGTACTTATTCCCACTACAAACCCACGAAAACAATACAATGAATTAAGAGAATCGTGAAATTTGTTATGAAATGGTCATACTGTGGAATTTGTTTATTTATTTGAGAGGCGGATTCGAACTTGGAACTTTTGTTAATATTGAAAAAAGAAATACTTGAACAATTTATTTCTTTGATTAGCTAGTCTGAAATTATAACGTTATGTTTCTTCTCTAACAAAAAAGAGGTTATGATTATTTGATTAGGCTTGTAATTATAATACCTACATTAAGAAATAATCACTTATGATTGAAGGATGGCATGCGAAGAATAAATTTAATTTGCTACCCTAGACTTCAAATTGCGTATATTGTTTGTATCTGGCTCATCTTGGAAGTGCATTAGTGTAAGGCCCAAGTCTTTGTGTATATAAAAACCCAAGCCTTATATTCTATTGATTGACCATCCGATCCAAGCCTTATATTGGGATCCAAAAAGGCTTTACTATCATCATTCACCAGTTTTTGGCATACAACTCGAGTGTAAGTGGGCGACACACTCTCTTGACTAATAAATTATTCTTTAGTGAGAGTTTTATATATGGTTTTTAGGTGAGATATTATCTTTTAACTGTTGAATTTTACTAACTAAATTGATACAACGATTAATAAATATAGTCTCACCTAAGGGTATAAAGCCCTCGCTATTAAATTCTTGCTTGACTAATCGATCTAATTTATGTCTGTATCATAATATAAATTTTAAAAACATAAAAAACAATCCAGTAAACAATAGTATACATTGCCAAGTGTGCCTACTATTTGCTAAAATAAAACAAAAGTATTCATATGAGCTTCCCGATAAATGTGCTCCATCAAACATGCATTGCCCGAATACTTTAAAGGCACTATTATTGTTTAAATCTATGTTGGGTTGAGCCATGCTTATAACCGTTTTATACAATATAATATATAAAAATTTCATCTGTGGCGCACTTGGTTTTTTAGGGGTTTTGTTTTGTTTTTATCAGCACTACAATTTAGAGTTGAAAAAAGGGATATTAAAATTTCCTCATTATTTTTATCAGCACTCAATCAGTGTTCAAGTACTGTGTTAGCAGTCCTCGTTAGTGCGCGATTTCTAATTTTCTACATAAATTCACACTGATGATAGCTGGTAGTTGGGTGTCACGCGTAAGTCCTTCCGGCTCAAGATTTTAGATATGCCCTGACACTTGTTGTGAAAGTAACTAGTTTTCCCCTAATTTTTTTTTAGTATAAAAAGAAAGGTATATTAATACAACTGGTCACTGGTGGACTTAGGTTCTCTGTAAATAGATAAGATTTTGGCTTCGGAGACTGTTGAGGTGCGAGAGTGACACGACGACGCTCCACATAATCACGTGTCCTGATCCAATTGATTGTCGTTTCATCCGGATCATAATACCTAGCGCACCACACCGCTGATGCTCTTCTCGGTCCCTCCCACCACCATGTGTAGTTTACGGTGAGCTCGGAAGCAGAGGATTATCAATCTCATCATATATACGACACGTCGGATGTATTTGGCAACGGTAATGAGACGAAAGGCTTTACCGCGTATTTTGACCACGGTATGTAACCATTCTTTCAAACGGCTACAAGTTTTGTTTTTTACCGCAGACTTTTCGGCGGTGTCTGGGTTACTGTAACATTTTAAACTCTACCTAAATGGACTTGGGGTTTCAGGAAATTACAAGGCTACCCTACCTCATGTACTCTCTGTGTCTGGCCTGCTGCTTTCCTTCCATGCTAAGCTGTCCCAAGTTCCAATCATCATGTTGTGGTTTTCCAGCTTCCAAATATAAAGTAAGCATTTTATCGACAAAGAAAGAAAAAAGGGGGAAGGAAACTTAATGGAGGCATGACCCATTTAGAGCTTTCTTGATACGGACAAGTTATGGGGGATGGGAGGCTACCCCATCCGACTCGTTCAGAGCTTTGCATTTCTTTTTTTGTGACAAAAGTTTGGTAAAGAGTTGTAACGTTTAAAATCATTATAACTTTTGAAGATGTTGTTTCTTCTTTCTTAATTAAAGCCAATCTAAAAAGCACTTGAATTGTTTATGTAGTGGAAATTGCAAGTGTGATAGTTTTTTTTGGGTAAATAAAGCTCGTTTGTTTGTGGTAAATATAAGATACTACTCTAAAATTATTGAAAGAAAAAGAATTATAATGAGCTCGATTAGGTTTGTAACGCAGGGGCATGTCCTGTTAATTGTGTGCAGCGCAAGGGGAGTTTTATTGCCCAAATCGAACATGATTCTCCTTTTTACTGTTCCCGTTCTGGCTTCTTTCATTATAAAGAAGCCCACCAAAACCCAACCTACAGAAAGCAGCAGCATCTCTTGCTACCCTGCCACAATTCACAATCCATGGCCAATCCCAAGTCCCTTCTCACTCTAACCTCTTTCTTCTCTCTCTTCCTTCTAACCCTCTCCTCCAAACTTGCCACAATTCACAATCCATGGCCAATCCCAAGTCCCTTCTCACTCTAACCTCTTTCTTCTCTCTCTTCCTTCTAACCCTCTCCTCCAAACTCACCCTCCCTCTCTCCCCATTGCCCAACCACCCATCTTCAGATCCACTCCAAGCCCTCAGCTTCCATGCCTCTGCCTCCATTTCCAGAGCCCACCACATCAAAAACTCCAGAAAACTCAACTCTTCTCTCACTGAAGTCCCTCTCTTTGCTCACAGCTATGGTGACTACTCAGTCTCCCTCAACTTTGGGACACCCCCACAAACCTCTTCCTTCATTATGGACACAGGAAGCAGCCTTGTTTGGTTCCCCTGCACCAAACGCTACATTTGCTCCAGATGCCAATTCCCAAACATCAACCCAGCAAAAATTCCAACTTTCATGCCCAAACTCTCCTCCTCATCCAAAATCGTTGGCTGCCAAAACCCCAAATGTGGTTGGATTTTTGGCCCAGAAGTCAATTCCAAATGCCCAAATTGCAACAACAAGAGTCCCCAAAACTGCTCGCAACCCTGCCCAACTTACATAAGCCAGTACGGTTCAGGCGCCACAGTTGGGATTTTACTTTCCGAGACACTCGATTTTCCCGAGAAAATTGTTCCGGATTTTCTCGTCGGCTGCTCTTTCTTCTCGATCCGCCAACCCGCTGGGATTGCTGGGTTTGGCCGCGGACCACAATCGCTGCCTGCCCAAATGGGCCTCTCCAAATTCTCCTACTGCTTAGTCTCTCACAGATTCGACGACACCCCACAAAGCAGCGACCTTGTCCTCTACAGCAGCAGCTCAAGCTCTGAAGAAGAACCCACCATCGCTGAAAGCCAGAGAAACAAAACCAAACTTCAAAGCTTGAGCTCCACCCCATTTCAGAAAAACCCAGGTCCTCCGAACTCCGCTTTCCGCGAATACTATTACATCATGCTCAGAAAAGTCATTGTGGGCAACAAGAACGTCAAAATCCCCTACAAGTTTCTGGTTCCTGGAGCTGACAGCAGTGGCGGCACCATAGTCGACTCAGGCTCGACCTTCACGTTCATGGAGAAGCCGGTTTTCGAACCCGTGGCCAAAGAGTTCGAAGCCCAGATGGCGAATTACACAAGAGCCAAGGACTTGGAAAACAAAACGGGCTTAAGGCCCTGCTTCGACATTTCAAAGGAGAAGAAACTTGACTTCCCAGAATTGGTCTTCCAATTCAAAGGGGGTGCCAAGATGGAATTGCCATTGACGAATTATTTCTCTCTGGTTTCAAGCTCGGGCGTTGTGTGCTTGACCATTGTTACAGATGGGGTTGTAGGTCCAGGCGGTAATGGTGGACCTGCGATTATTTTGGGCAATTATCAGCAGCAGAATTTTCTTGTGGAGTATGATTTGGAGCATGAGAAGTTTGGGTTTCGAAAACAGAGTTGCAAATAAAAGCTGCCCATTTTGCAGTTTTTTACTGTAGAGAAAATAAGAGGTGCACAAATTTACTGCGGTGACTTGACAACGATGACAAGAAATATTTGTGCAGATTTAAGCAAGGACAAATTAATTGTTTTCTTTAGATTAGTGATTATTTATCACAATAGAGAAGAAGGGTAATATAATTTACACAATTTGCAGAAGTGCTGCTGCATAAAGTGCTTATATATATATATATATATATATATATATATATATATAAATGTTACATGTCATGTTTATGTGTATCTTCATGCATAAAGTTCTATATGTATTACACATGCATGCCACCTCACTTTTGTAATATAATTTGGGTGGCCCAAACAAACACTTTCTCCATGGAAACTTCCATGAGGAGGTTTTATAGTATTTATGGGACGTTATTAGGTGACGCGAGGAGAGATATAGATACAAATAAGTCATATGACCGTTTCATTAAAATATTTCGTCATGTGAATATATAGCTGACGTAAGAATCACCAAATGCATTTCTTTTTGCTTTGTACAAAAACAACTAATCCTTAGAAACATAATATTTAGTTTTTTTACTTCTAAGAAATCCTGATTGTGAAGGGCACAGAAGTACTTTGCAATTTAGTAAGAGAAAAAGTTGCTCATTATTTTACCTTTTCCTTGGTGGAAACAAAAATAAGTGCTTTTGTTGCTTTCGGTTAAATTATATATCAATTTGACTTCCATAATATATATGTTACCTTCTCTCTCTGTCCCTTTCTGCCTAACTTTCTTGTGACTCTACTATCTGACCAATAAGGCAGCTCATTTACTCTAATCTATAGTTTCATACACCTACGCTACTAAATATATGCTATGTCTTTTTCTTTTTTTATACGAGCGATCTTACGTGGAGGGAGATTCGAATTCGGGTGCAGGATGAGGAGCACATTTACTCTAATCAATTTGGCTAAGTCCATGTCTGCAATTATGTACCGCAATCTAGCATTACTATTTTCTATGTTAGATAGGAGGCTATAGGACTCAAAATGTATTATATAATTTGCTTTATCAGTCAATATATTAATAGTACCTAATCTTGGCGAGTGCATGGCATAGAATCTATTGATGAATTCATATGATTTCAAATCTGATTAAAAGAAGGAGGACATATATAATTAAGTTGGCTAGACAAGTAGATTGGCACATGTTTGGTAGTTCCCTAGTTCACCGGCAAATGCAACTCTTTTTCTCAACTCCACAGTTGGCAAATCGGTTGTCTTTATAGTTGAGAGTTTTAACATTAATCAGCACCGTCCAACTCATTTGTGAAACTCACATGTCACTAACCACATGGACACTATTTACCTTATTGTTGAGATTGCATACAAAGCTTTTCAAGTGTGCCTTCAAGCATGTAACTAATGGTATGAAACCGTAAAATCCTTATTTCGTATAGAAATGCAAATTTTTAGGGAAATATTCTCGTGTCAGATTGTACACGATAATTTTAGTTTTGAATCATTGATCATGTTGATATTTTATTTGACTAGGTAGTTTAGATTTACAATCAGACAACTTAAGCATTTGTGCGACAAGAGAATAGGTCGTAAGTGGAATTTTCCAATTACAATCTTTAACAAAAAATTGTTGAATTTTTCAACAGGAAAAAGACATATAATGTATACCTACATGTAACATATTCATACAGTTATAGATTACACCTATAATTCATGTATATGAACCTATGAGGTCCCCAGAAATAACCAGGCCAGGGTGGAAAGCCTCTACCCTTCATTAGGGTTAGATTAACTCATCAAAGAAGAAAACAGATACATTGATAACTAGGACCACAAGTGGAATTAATTTGTTTGGCATATGAGGGGGGTCGTAGCCCATCTACTGTGCTAAGTGTGGACAACTTTTTTACAATAGCATTACAATTTCCCATGCGCTGGTTTGGTGGGTAGTCTTTTTCTCTCTGTTCTTTTTGGGTGATGGTGGGTGGTGTTTTTGTCAAGTGCTAATAAGAACAACAAAACATGAATGGAGAGGTATGGCTGGCTGTTATGAATCACATTTTTCCCAACAGTTGTGCATAGATAAAGTCAGAAAAGAATAAGTTTAAAGAACAAGGCAAATGTATCATTTATCATGTATTTGTAAACACGACAATTTTTGCGACAAATAAAACAACAACATATGTATACAAAATAAATTTGTATTGATTTGCCTTATTAAAAATTAAGAATTTTATTAATTATTTGCATATATGTCATGTTCTTTTTTAAAGAGGTTAAATGTTGACTTAGAGCATCCACAGTGGGGGGTGTAAATTCGGGGTGTAAAGCCACTTTTACATCCCCTTTACACCTCCGGGGGGTGTAAATTCGTTTTTTGCTCCAATGGGAAACGATGTAAATCTAAAGATGTATAATTCGTTTTTGTGTTAAATTTTTATTTTGTGTTAACTTTATAAAATTAATTTTTTTTGTAGTAGGTTAATTTTATTTTTTCAAACAAATAGACCTAAAAATATTTAAATTCGGAGAAGATATGATTTATCCAAAAAGAATCGTTGGATTGTTGCAAAGCTGTTGCCTGGCCAGATTCTTCATATAAAAAAAAAGCTGCTGCCTGCTTGATTCTTCATAAAAAAACAAAACTGATGGCTGTTGCAAAGCTGCTACCTGCTTGATTCTTCATTAAAAAAAAGCTGATGGCTGTTGCAAAGCTGCTGGCTGCTGATTCTTCATAAAAAAATAGCTGCTGCCCTGCATGTGAATTTTTTTTCCAGCAATTACTGTAGCCGTGGGTCCCAACCTTTTATGCTGACTTTTCTTCATTTTTCATCTCTTTTCTCGGGTGAGTCCCAGCTGCAAAGGATGTAAAAATGGATGCAAATATACATTTTATTTTGCATCTCCATGGAGGTGATGTAAATATACAACCCTTTACATCTCCCCATTGGAGATGATTCCGGTGACTCGGGGTGTATATTTAACATACACCCCCATATACACCCCCTCACTGTTGATGCTCTTAGCAAATCAAATTGGAAGATGCTTAGGTACTTAACTTGATTTTCAAGGATAGAGTGTTGTGTGGGCATTGAGATGACCAATATCACAATTTTTACTCTCATTTTCCACACAAAAAGTGAAAGAGTGAAAAATACTCATCACAAGTTTTGTTGAAAATAAGATGCTTTCAATTTTGGACATTAACATATTCCAACCCCTAATATAGGGAAATGGCCCTACTTTCCACCAGAATACATTATTATTAATTAATTCCCCTACAAAAATATATATCAAAGTGAAAGTCAGTCCTGTAAGCTGTGACAATACGTAATTTCCCCAATTTGTCCTGGACGATAAGTGACGTTGAAGATTGAAGACATGTGAGTGAATACAATAAGAACAAAAGCAGTGAGTCATGGGAGCACATGGATGTGGGAATTGGAACCTCAAGGCTTTTTTTTTTATCTTGCTTTTGGAATCTCTACTCACTTGGTCCTTATTAGCCAAAGAAAGTATGTGGTCACTTTTCTTTTCTGACATGGAGGTGGAAGATTATTGATCCTCCAAATCTTCTTTCACTAATATGCCTCTCGCATTGGTCAACTATAATATAATGACCTGCATAATTAAAAACCAACTTTGGAAATTGGGGTTATTTTAGTTTAAAATGTCGATCATGCACGCATGCATGCATGCATTGAAGAGGTTTTCTGTTTTGCCATAGTTAGAAAAAAGAGGGATTTTCTCGTACACATAGTTAAGGTGTCTTGGAGGTTCGAATATGAGACTACTGATCTACAAGATAATGCTCTTTTTCTTTGGGCTAGATACCGTTAACATTCAAGAGAATGACATTATGCTCATCAATAGTTCAGACATATCGAATAATATCCAAGAAAGTAAATTCTTGGACATAATGGGAAAATTGTAGGGTACATGAGCAAAATTTCCCAAAATTTTACAACTGTCTTTACCCTCTTGATGTAGAAAACAACAGCCTAGGCCCCTTGTAATTTTGTCACATCATACATTGGGACCCAGATGCCATTTTTTAAAATTGGGGCTACATGTATAGTAAAAGATATTTACAGGAATATTTTTGTTTTTGCCAAGATTTACAGGAATATAATAGAATAGGTACAAAGAGTAGTCGTTTCATTGTATAAATTTAAATGTTGCCAACAGCACAACTTGATTATACAAGACCATTAGCATACTTAAGCATAATTATAGTCCATGCTAATAAGGTTGTTCCTCATTAAGCATAATTATGGTCCATGGAAAAAGAAGGTTGGAGTATGTTTTACGCTCGCATGTTATCTATACGAAGGAGATCATGAAAATTATGGCGAATGAAATGATAGTCATGTTTTCTTTGACTTAATGAATTGAGTGAGCCCTTTTTACCGCTAGTTTAATATTGTTTTGAACGACGATATTTTTAACTCATATGCTAAAACAATGGAACTAGATTTAGCATGATTATGTGATTGCTTGTGAAGTTCATTTTTTGACTTCAACGGCCATTTTTTAGTCCAAGTATAGACAAGTCGGACCAACTAGCTTTTAGACTTGTGAAACTTAGGTCATGTTTGGTATTCTACTCAAAAAAGTAAATTCAAAATTTATGATTTTTTTTATAGAAAAAATATGAGTTTTCAATTAGTGATTTTAAGATCTAAAAACTTGTTTGGTATTGAACTTCAAACTATTTTTAAGATCTACAAATTTGAAATTAAAATAAGAAAATCAGAAACCCTAGATTCCCAAATTGAAATTCCTGAATTAAAATTAACAAAAGAAAGAGAGAGAGGGAGAGAGAGGGGAGGGGGAGGAGAGATAGAGACGAGGGAGGGTGGAGGAAGAGATAGAGACGAGAGAGGAAGGACAGAGAAAGAGACGGGAGAAGGGAAGAGAAAGAGAGGAGATAGAGAGAGGGAGGAGAGGGAAAAAAAACTATAAAATCTTACTCTTAAAATAATAATAATGAGAGTGTTTTTGAGTTTTTCTTGAGTTTGACATTTTAAGAAAAGGGCTTACCAAACGGATTTTTGTGACTTTGGACTTAAAATCTATTTTTGAGTTTATAAAATTGAATCCAAGTAGGATACCAAACAATTCAACAAAAAAAAAGGATACCAAACATGCCCTTATATTTTCAATGATTGAAAAAAATTCCCAAATTCGAACCCTACAATCTGGCTAACCCGCCTTTTTAAGGTGACTTCAATTGTACTCTTCCATAATAAGTTTGGTTGCCCTCTTGACGTTGCACTAGTTTTGGTCGCCTTTTCAGTTTTGCAGTTTTTTCATGGGCTTGTGAAGTTTCAATCGTACTTCAATTCCACTATTTTCAATGATGAAGATGAAGAAAAAGAAAGGGATATGGCACATAATTTTTTTGAGAGAGCATGGGTTGGGTTAGCTTGGGCTCAAAGTTAAGCAAGATCCATGTTGAACTCAGGCTAAAGCCCACTAAAATCGTTGGCCAACAACACTTTCTTTTTGTTGTTGGTAATATTGGGCCCAGAACCTTTTTGCTTGTACGCTTTGATTCTCGTACAAATTCATTCAAATAATAATACATATTGAGCACAACAGTGCACCAGATCAGAGTTTTCCGCCGCAATATTTTGGGTCTTAAATTGGAAATTCTATGAATTTTGGGGTAGAAATTTTCACACTCGCATTCTTTATGATGTCTTCTCCATTTGCTTGTACGCTTTGATTCTCGTACAAATTCATTCAAATAATAATACATATTGAGTTTTTTTTTAATAATTGTAGATGTATTACAAATCAAGTACGTCCTATACCAATGGTATTATGGGAATGTGAATCGGACATAGGACCTTAGAAATAGGAATAAATGCTCTTAATTACTTAAACTATAAGCTCCTTGTTAAGTGTGTCATCATGTTATTAAATGAACTGATAATACAACATGGACAATTTCTACAAATAAAAATATGGGTTTTGATCGAAACGGTCCCTAAATTTATATCGAGTTTTATTTTGGTCCTCCAACTAAATATTTCACTCCAATGGGCCTCTAACTTTCTTTATAGTGTCAAATTGGTCCAATTGTTAAATTTAGGATGAAATTGAGGAGTAAAATCATCAATTTGGGCAATGATCCTCTCAAATGACCAACCCAGCTCTATAATGAACATTTCTCTTCGTAAGTCGTTCCTCTCTATTCCAATTCAAAAAAGTCAAAGAAATTGGCATCAACCAAAGCTTAGGATTTCAATTTGGGGCATAGTGTCACATCCCGGATCGGCTTCGCTGTAGCACGATATTGTCCGCTTTGGGCCCCCCTCTCTGGCCCTCACGGTTTTGTTTCTGGGAGCTCACTACCAACTTCCCAGTGGGTCACCCATCTTGGGATTGCTCTGGCCCCCAACTTGCTTAACTTCGGAGTTCCTACGACTCCGAAGCTAGTGAGCTCCTAAAAGGCCTCGTGCTAGATGGATGCGGGTGTGTACATATAAGTCACATCACCCCCTCTCCGTTGGTCGATGTGGGATCTTACAATCCACCCCCCTTAAGGGCCCGACGTCCTCGTCGGCACACTCGCACCCCACGGCAGAGTGGCTCTGATACCATTTGTCACCACCCGACTCCTCTAGCACGATATTGTCCGCTTTGGGCCTCCCATCTCTGGCCCTCACGGTTTTGTTTCTGGGAGCTCACGAGCAACTTCCCAGTGGGTCACCCATCCTAGGATTGCTCTAACCCCCAACTCGCTTAACTTCGGAGTTCCCATGACTCCGAAGCCAGTGAGCTCCCAAAAGGCCTCATGCTAGGAAGAGAAGTGCCCACACTAGGGGTGGGCATCAAAACCGGAATACCGATACCGTCCCGAAACCGTGCCATTCCGTGTCAAACTCGTGCCAAACCGTTTGGTGTTGATGCTTAAACGGGATGAAACCGTGTCATCCCGTTACTGTTTGGCACGACACCGGTATCAGATTTGTGATC